GGCAGGTCTCGAACCCGCGGGTTCAGGCAATCCACTCACCTCAGCCTCCCAAAGTGCTGAGATTACAGGCTGAGCCACTGAGCCCGGCTTCACATGCATCTTTTTTATGTGCGAAATTCCATATACATTTCTGTCTAGTTCCAGACTTTTTGTTGTGCTTTATTAATCTATTTATGTACTTTGTGTTTATGATCACACTGCTTTAATTATTATTGTAACTTTAGAATATGTTTTTACTATCTCATAAAGCCTCCTTCACTATTCTTTTTCAGAATTTTCCTGGCTATTCTGGCCTTTTTCTGTTTTATGTAGGAACTTTAAAATAAGCTTATTTAGTTCAACCCTCTCCTGTGGGTATTTTGTATAGACGGATGCACAGGAGGTGGCCTCAGTGGTAAGCGCCCGGGAGATCCAGGCCGTGGCGGAGCTGCTGCAGATCTCCCCAGAGGGTCTGCAGAAAGCCATCACCTTCAAAGTGACCGTGAGTCTGTGGGCACCTGGCAACTTAAAGAGCCTCCTGCCAGTGCCTCGACAGAGCTGCCTTGTACACTATCCCCTGTGGGTCACCGCTTTCTCTCCCCTCCTCTCTCTGTCCCTGTCTGTCCGCTGGGTCAGACCTGGAGGGAGTTAATCTCAGTCTCCAAAGGCATTAGGATCCCGATCTCCAGGCCTTTGCACAGACTGTTCCCCCTGCCTGCATGATCTTCCTCTTTTCACACCTACTCATCCCTTGAGATCCATCACAAGTATTCCCTCCTCCAGGAAGCCTTTCCTGATCCCTGGCTGGGTCAGTGCCTCTGCTGGGCTTTCACAACCCTAGGCCCTCCCCACCTTCCCAGGGCTGATTTCATTGTGTTATATCTGCTTATGCCTCCGTCTCCCCCTTTAGACCAGCTGTCTCTACCACTGTCACCATCTCATCCAGTAGAGGGGGAAGAGGGTGTCCTGCCCGGGTTTGGCCAACTGTGTGCCTGAGACCAGTCACACCATCCCTCTGGCCTCCCTTCTACCATACCCCCAGCCCCTCAGTCCTCTGTGGGCCTGCTGTCAGTCAAGGGCCATGTTCTTCCCCAGGAGACAATGCGAGAAAAGATCTTCACACCCTTAACTGTGGAGAGTGCCGTGGATGCCAGGTGAGGCCAGACCCCTCCCTGCCTGAGCCCCTAGACCCTTAGCACTCCTACCATGATGTCCCACCCACACCAGCAACACGCTTCCTCCAGGGACGCTATCGCCAAGGTCTTGTATGCACTGCTGTTCGGCTGGCTTATCTCCAGGGTCAACGCACTAGTGTCCCCACAACAGGACACACTGTCCATTGCCATCCTGGACATCTATGGCTTTGAGGTGGGGCTGTGTGGTTGTGCGAGGGACGGGAAAATGTAAGGCGAGGTCTCTCCTCCCTTCAGTATCCAGGGCTGCCCTTCCTGTCCTGCCATCTCTCTGCCCACGGCATGACGTCTTCCTCCAGGGATCTCTCCCTTGTAATCATCTCCTTGTCTCTCTCTACTTTCTTCACTTGCCCACAAGTATGCCCTGAGGCCTTCAGGGACCAGGCCCTGTGCTGGGAAATACTAGCTACCTGGGAAGGACCAGAGGTGCCTTACCTGGGGAAGCTTCCTGTGTAGGGATAGTGACAGCCGATGTCACCAGATCCATGGGAGAAGTGACCTCTTGCTGGGGGAGCCCAGAGGGTACCCTTAACTGGGCAGAGGTCTGGATGGCTTCCTGGATGGGGAGGAGACATTCTTGAGAACCAGTGAAGGTATTCTAGGTGGAGAGAAGAATACATGCAAAGGCCGTGAGATGTGACAGAGCCTGGTGTCTAGGAAGCTGGCCTGTGTCTGAGGGGTGACTGCTGTGTGATGTGTAGTTAGGGGAATGAAGAGACGGGGCATGATCATAAGAGAAGCCAGCACAAACCCTCACATGGTGCCTCTTACATGTCAGGCGCTGTTCTAAGTACCTTATGTTTGTTAATTCACTTCATCGCAACAGCAATCCTGCGAGGCAGTTTCTGTCAGTGTCCCCATTTTATAGATGGGGAAATGGAGGCACAGGGCACTTGTTCAAGGTCACACAGCCAGGAGGTGGCAGAAGCAGGGTTTGAACCCAGGCAGAAGGCTGTCAGGACCAAGATACCAGGCTTTGTCCTAGTTGTCGCAGGAGCCATGTAGGGTTCTGAGCTGGGGGCTGTGGCCATGGAAGGCAGGAAGGGCACTGGGCAAGGCCCAAGGCAGGGACACATGGGCTGCTGGCCCAGGAGGGACCAGGCCCAGCCTTACCATTTCCCTGGCAGGACCTGAGCTTCAACAGCTTTGAGCAGCTATGCATTAACTATGCAAATGAGAACCTTCAGTACCTTTTCAACAAGATCATCTTCCAGGAGGAGCAGGTGTGTGGACCCCTGTGACTTTCCGGTCCCCATCTTGACTGGCCGATGGGCCTCCTTGGGGACAGACAAGGATATACTGGTTCTTTAAAGGGCAATTCCAAAGTAGTCAGTAGATAGTGAAGGGACCGGCATTCTCAGAATGAAATTGGCACATGTGAAGTACCTGTGTTCTGAAGGGAAAGGTAGTGAGGTGCTGAGCCCAGAGGTGGGCTTTCTTAGGTCAGGGGCAGCGGGGTAGGGCGGGGAGGGTCTGTCTTGTCTTCCACTGGGCTGTTCCAGGCGTAGGGAGCAGCAGGGCTCTGAGGTGGCTCATGTTGCCCTGTTAGGGGGTGAGCTCCCTATTCTAGGAGGTATGCAAGCAGAGGTGCCCCTGGCCTGGCTCCTTCAGACAGGTTCAGCTCGGGAGCTAGGGTGGCAGGGGGCCTGGGCAGAACTGGGCGACTGAGTCCCTGCTGCCCCCAGGAAGAGTACATCCGTGAGCAGATTGATTGGCGGGAGATCACCTTTGCCGACAACCAGCCCTGCATCAACCTCATCTCACTGAAGCCCTACGGCGTCCTGCGCATCCTTGACGACCAGTGTTGCTTTCCCCAGGTGAGCCACGGGCACTGTGTGAACCTTATTAGGTTGCACCGTTTTTTGGGGGTTTTTTTCCTTCGTGAGCCTTGGGGCCTCATCCCACCCAAGTCCTTCTTTCCTCTCTGCTCTGGCCTGGGATGGGGAGCTAAGGCTTGGGACTCACAACCTACCTGCAGTGATTGAGGCTGGGTGGGGCTGTATGTGTTCAGAGGAGGGACTGCACCAGCCTGGAAAGTCACAGGCTTCCTAGAAGAGGTAACCTTGGGACGGGGCCTCAAATACTGATTGTGAAACACAAGAGTGGGATACCAGTGGGACTAGGGAGTGCAGAGGCAGCTGGGCTGGAAGAGGGGCTGCCCACGCCTGTCTGCAGGGGTCCACTTAGGCCTCCAGGGCCTGGCTGAGGCACTCCCCTCCTGACCCAGGGTGATGGGCAGCCGTGGGAAGCTGTGAGTTGCTCCTCTTCTTTGCCCACCGAGGAGCAGTCAGGGCTGGAGAATTTGCCACAGGCCAGGAACAAGGTGTCTAGGCCCCCTGCCCACCACTGACCCCTGCTGCTCCCAGGCTACGGACCACACGTTCCTGCAGAAGTGCCACTACCATCATGGCGCCAACCCGCTCTACTCCAAACCCAAGATGCCACTGCCTGAGTTCACTATCAAGCACTATGCAGGCAGGGTTACCTACCAGGTAGGCCCTGAGATCACCAGCATGGCCACTGGTGCTACAGTTCTCCCAGCTGTTGGAGGCAGAGCACAGCAGGCCCCCAGAAATTCACACCTGGTTCCAGTTCTGGCTCTGCTACTCCCCAGCTGTGTGACCTTGGGTAAATCACCTAACCTTTCTGATCCTCAGTTTTTTCATCTGGCAAAGGGGGATAATAATAGTGCCCATCTCACGGGGTGGGTGTGAGAAGCATAGGGTGGGTTTGATAAAGAGTAGCAGTTATCAATAGGAATGTCACTGTAATCTCTCACACTTCTGCCCTGGAGATGACTCAGGTTGGGATTCTAGGCCTCTCTCCCCATCTGGGCCTTACTTTTCTCAGAATGGGCACAGGACAGTGTCTTCCACTGAGGGTGGGGCCAAGACCTAGACTGTTCATGTGAAGCTGTGGCTGATGCCCCCCTCTGCTAGGAGTGGGGAGGATGTTGGGGACCAGATCTTGGAGGAGGGTCCAGACTCCTGAGACAGACAGAGAGTCTGGCGGGGTAGGGCCAGGATTACCCAGGGAACTGAGCCTGTGGCCCTCCCAAAGGAGGAACCAAGGAGGAGGGAACAAGCAGGCTGATGTCCACTGGGGTGGGCTGTACGGGTGGGAATGGCTGGGCCCAGCTCGAGCTGCCCAGTGTTCCTCCTTTTCAGGTGCACAAGTTCCTGGACAAGAACCACGACCAAGTGCGCCAGGATGTGCTGGACCTGTTTGTGCGGAGCCGGACACGGGTGAGTGAGCCTCGCCTCACCCCTCTGCCTCCCCCGGACGTGGCCCGGCCCACAGTCAGGCTTCGGAGTTGCCTTATCCCGACTCTACTTAGCTTTGGACCACCATGTTCCTGCCTAAGTCCAGGAAATGGGAAGGTGACCTAGCCCTGGTCCTGCCCTCTGCCTCCCCTCAGCCCCGGCGGCCAGACCCTGGACCAACTCCCAGCCCTAACTCCGTATCCTCAGCCTTGGCTTTGCTCAGTACTTTCCTCTATGCCTGGCCCTGCCCCATTCTCCAGTCTATTCTCCCTTGACTTCTACCAGACTGTTCCCCCAATCCCAGCCCCTGGGATGAGCCAGGGGGGATCTGATTTGGGTCCCTTGAAGGTTTGGGAAGACCCCACACCCCAGCGCCCCTACTGACCAGCAGACGGCCCTGTGACAGAGCACAGGCCTGGGTAGGGCAGTTCCTGTCCGGCCCTTCTCTCCCTTCTCTGTCAACTGGGCACCCTCCTCAGGAGGTCATGGCCAGCGTTCATGAACATGCGTGTAACAGGCCGCTTCAGGGCCTATGGGTTCCCTGGACTGAAGGGGAAAGCATCAGCTAATTATGGGGTGAGTCCTTGGGAGGTGCTGAGCCCCCTGTTTTGAGAAGGGTGCAAGCCAGGGAGACAGAGTTCTTGCAGCGAGAACAGGGGTCCAGTCAACTCTCAGATTCTTCCGTCTGGAAACAGGACTCCTTGTGTTCTCACTCCCTCCTCACTTCTGTCTCTCGGCTTCCCTCTCTCTGTTTCGCCTGCCTGTCACCCTGTCTCTCACTGCCTCCACCCCTGCCCAGGTGGTGGCACACCTCTTCTCCAGCCATGCCCCGCAGGCCGCCCCTCAGCGCCTGGGCAAGAGCAGCTCTGTATCCCGGCTCTACAAGGCCCACACGGTGGCTGCCAAGTTCCAGCAGTCACTCTTGGATCTGGTGGAAAAAATGGAGAGGTGAGGGGGGGGCAGGTGGGTGGAGCACCCAGCCCTTCAACCCACCCATGACCCCTATTAGTGAGCACCTTACTTTCCTGCGCCCTCATGCTGCCCTCCTCCTGCCCCTGCCAGGTGTAACCCCTTGTTCGTGCGCTGCCTGAAGCCCAACCACAAGAAGGTAAGTGAGAGCTGAGGCCTCAGAGGAGCCAGAATCTCCTCCCGCTGTGTGTTCTTGGGCAAATGGCTTAGCTTCCTTGGGCCTCCATCTGCCTGGCCTGCCAGCCTGACTGTTCCCCACTGGCAGCGCCCTTCGCACATGACTAGGCCAACACACAGACCCCCTTCTCTGGGCATCCCCACAGGAGCCGGGTCTCTTTGAGCCAGATGTGGTGATGGCACAGTTACGCTATTCAGGAGTGCTGGAGACTGTGCGAATCCGCAAGGAGGGCTTTCCGGTGCGGCTGCCCTTCCAGGTGTTCATTGACAGGTACCTCGTCGGGGTTGTTTTAAGCTCCACAGACCCCTGTCCGATTCTTCATGACTCCAGGAATATACAACCCAGGCAGCTCAGGGCTTGCCGAGCCGAGTTGCTCAGGTTGTATGCTACACAAGATCATTGCATGTTGCTACATGGCAGATATATTTATTGTCTTGCCTTTTTTTCCCCATAGTTTTATTATATCTGTATTGATTCCAAGGAGTGATTTTTTCATAGTTATTAAGAGAAGTTTCCAGCAGATGGCAGTAAAGTGTCTGTCCTGTTCTAGTGAAATCATCTACTGCAGTAGAACAGTTTTTTGACACCTAGAAATAAAAAGTCTTGAGTGCCTTTTTTTGATTAGGAGACATTGCCAGGCATGGTGGCTCATGCATATAATCCCAGCACTTTGGGAGGCCAAGGCAGGAGACTTGCTTGAGGTCAGGAGTTCAAGACCAGGCTGGACAACATAGTGAGATCTCATCTCTACAAAAAAAAAAGATTAGCAGACACTGTGGGTTGGGGGTTGAAACCCCATAGTCTAGCAGGCATCTTGGGTAGGTCTCGTATCCCCAAGACTGAGTTTGGGCCATCTTAGGTATCGCTGTCTAGTGGCTCTCAAGCATGACCTGCCTGCTAACGGGGACATGTGTGTGTCGGTGCTGAGTCGCCTGTGCACAGTCATGCCAAATATGTACCGCGTTGGGGTCAGCAAGGTGAGTCCTGCCCCGCCATCAGACCTTGGAGACTCCAAACCTGCCGCCCACTGAGTCAGAAGTGTCCATGCTAAAGACCGCTGTCCCCAAAGCAGTCCAGACGAGCCTGGCATACGGAACGCCAGTCCCACCTCCAAGCCTTTGCTCCCACTGCCTGACTCTCCACTGCCCCATCTTCCACCTCTCCAAACCCGACCCATCCTCCAGCCCAGCTCCAGGAGGCTGCCCCCGTCTATTTTGTCTCCATGGACTTGTGGAGAGGGAGGGGCCCCTAGTACAGCCTCCTGGTTCTTACCTGCCTCAGTGCTGCCTCCCGTCCTCAGCTGTTCCTCAAGGAGCACCTACACCAGCTGCTGGAGAGCATGCGGGAACATGTCCTGAACCTGGCGGCCCTCACGCTTCAGCGCTGCCTCCGTGGCTTCTTCATCCAGCGGCGATTCCGTTCCCTGCGCCGCAAAATCATCCTGCTGCAAAGTCGGGCCCGTGGCTACCTTGCCAGGTGCAGCCCAGAGAAGGCAGGGTTCCCTAGAGCCCTGTGGTCAGGCTTGGGAGAGGCCATGCCTGACCTCAGGTAGTGAGCTCCCAATCTCTGAAGGCATGCAAGCTGAGCATGGGGGCCTCTGCAGGAAGGACAACCAGATTCTCTGTGTCTCTGCCTTTGAGTGCCCTTAGGACTGGCAGTTGGGAATCCATCCAGTTGAGAAGGGCCCCACCCTGCATCTTGGGAAATATATGGTCCAGGCAGGCTTAATCCATGCTCTGACAGTTAATTTGCCATGTGACCTTGGCCAAGTCACTGCCCTTCTCTGAGCTGCAGCTTTCCCTGGTGCCAAAGAGCCCTGGAGTGAAGTGTGGACACTCTACCAGTCCAGGCTAGCAGGGACATCTCTTCCGCTTGGTGACTCTGTGGCTCCGATCCCTGACCCCGCCTCCCCCCACCTCCAGGCAACGCTATCAACAGATGAGGAGGAGTCTGGTGAAGTTCCGGTCCCTGGTGCACACGTACATGAGCCGACGACGCTACCTCAAGGTACAGGCCCTGCCCCAGCTGGATCCAGAGGGCAGCAGAGAAGGGGAGGAGTCACTTAGCACCTGAGAGCAGACTGTTGGCCTCAGACATTCTTGGGGTCAAATCCCCTGCCTGCCATTCACTGTATAACCTTGGCTGTTCTTTAGGCTCAATTTCCCTGTCTGCCCCTTGGGATTATGGAGAGGGTTCAATGAGACACTGCATGCGAAGGGTCAGCCTGGTGCCGGGGTCCCAGTGGGGTCTTCAGTAACTAGGGACGATTAGAATTTGGCGACCTGAACGTTGCTGGCTGTGGTTTGCTCTCACCTCCATGCCGGTCCTGACCCACTGTCATGTACACCAACCACTGGAAAGACAGGTGCTCTTCCCCAAGCACTGAAGCGCACGTGGCCCTTAATGAAGGGTTCGAGGAGCCATGGAGGAGGGCTTTCCACCACACATTGCTCGGTGCTTCCCAGAAGTCCTCCCATGTGCCTCTCTTTCTGTGAAGTTCTTCCCCCTTTGCGCCTCGCCTCTGTCTCTCTCTTGCTCTCTCCTTTCCCCTCTCTGACTCTCTAGTCATCCTCTGCCTCCTCCCTTCCATCTATGAAGTGGGGCAGTTGCTTCCAGACAGCAAGCAAGCTAGCTGCACCCCTTGCTTCTCGTGTGCTCACCCTGTGCAAACTGGCCTGGGCCTGGGGCCTGCCGTGGCCTCTGCTGCCATTCCCCGCCTTAACCATCTGCTCTCCTGCAGCTGAGGGCAGAGCAGAGGCGCCGGGTGGAGGAGGCACGGCTGCGGGAGCAGGAGGTGGGTGTGGGGTCTGGGTGGCAGCAGGGCCACGGAGGGAGGCTGGCAGATGGGGGTGTGGCAGGCCTGTCCGTGCCCCATGCACTGTCCCTTCAGGTGCTGAGCAAGCGGGAGGTGGTGGCTGTGGGGCACCTGGAGGTACCGGCTGAGCTGGCAGGGCTCTTACGAGCAGTGGCAGGTAGGTAGCACTGGGCAGGGGTAGGGTGTGGGAGGACAGGGTGCAGGCACCTCATGTCCTCCTCTCTCCACAGGCCTCAGGCTGGCCCGGGTGCCCCGGGTGGCCCCGGTGCGGACTCCCCGGCTGCAGGCCGAGCCTCGTGTCACACTGCCCCTGGATATCAACAACTACCCCATGGCCAAGTTTGTCCGGTGCCACTTCAAGGCAAGGGCTGGCATAGGCCCAAGGTGCCCTGGACAGTGGGTACTGACCACTAGAGTAGACATTGTCCTTGCCCTAGAGCAGGCTCCTGACTGTGCCCTGTGGCACGAGGTATGAGCCAGATCATGGGAACTCTGGGGGTCCAGATAGCAGTGGAGGACCCTCAGGGGCTCCGGTGGGGTTGTTTACCGACCAGTCTGGAAATGTGACAGAAATTGGACAACTGGTGCAGTGATGGCACGTCAGCCCTGCTCTTATTTCCTGCCTTCCAGGAAGGGCCCAGATGGGGGCTCATCCTGTCCCTACCAGCCACTCACTGAGGGCCACTGTGGCCCCTGCTGGATCTCGGTTTCCCCATCATGCACTGGGGACAGGAGCCCCTGCCTCACAGCCCTTTGCGCCCCCACCTGGCACAGGGCAGAGGATCCAGATGTGCCTGTCAGTCCTAGCTCTGTCTCCTCATGTCTCTGCCCTGTGCTCCCAGGAACCTGCCTTTGGTATGCTGACAGCGCCCCTAAGGACACCTCTCACGCAGCTGCCTGCTGAGTACCATGCGGAAGCTGCGAGCGTCTTCAAGCTGGTATGGGGTCTTCCCCAGCCCACCTTCAGATGCATAACCCCTTCCCCTGGTGCTGTACTCCTGGGTTCTCCCCAAGCCCAGTCATGCACGAACCCCATGTGTCCTCCTTAGAGGAGAGACTTGTATGTCAGTGGAATGATCTGGCCTCCTTTCTGGGGACTGGTAGACTTTCTTCTCCCAGCCATCTTCCTGGCTAAAAAAGGCTACTTTGGAGGCCCTTGGGGACTCTAAGAAGAGACCCAGGTCCTCTCCTCAAGGACTTTCCAGTCTGAGTGGGGAGGCAGAGCTGACCTGGCAAGTAACCACCAGCATGAACAGAAGGAAGCACTGAGACTATGGAGCCAGTTGGGGCCACTAATTCAGCCCTGGGCAGGGTCAGAGAGGGCTTCTTGGCGGAGGGGCATTTGAGCTGGAGGGAAGTTTGCCAGATAGGAAGAGTGAGAATGTTCAGAGAGATGAGGAAACTGGTGTGATCAGAACAGAGAATCAGGTGGGCAAGGAAGAGAGTGTCAGTAAGGCCTTGATTGTAGACCCAGAGCTTGGATTTTATCCCACAGGACCTAGGGAACTAAGAAAGGTGCTTCCATGGGAGAGAGGTGGTCATATTTGAATGTTAGAAAGAGGGTGTTCTGGCCAGGCGCGTGGTGGCTCACGCCTATAATCCCAGCACTTTGGGAGGCCAAGGTGAGAGGATTGCCTGAGCCCACAGGTTTGAGACCAGCTTGGGCGACCTCATCTCTACAGTAAATCAAAAAATTAACTAGGTGTGGTAGCACACTTGGAAGACTGAGGTGAAGGGTCACCTGAGCCCAGCAGGTTGAGGCTACAGTGGCTGTGAGTGTGCCATTGCACTCCAGCCTGGGCAACAGAATGAGACTCCAACTCAAAAAAAAAAGAAAAAGGCTGTTCTTGCTGTCAGCCAGCCCCAGCTGCTCTGCCTGTGGCGTAGCCTATTCTCCATCAGTTCAATAAACTTACTTTAAAAAAAAGGAAAGAAAAAGCCCTCTGGAACATAGCTAGAGCAGGAGTTGAGGGGCCAGCTGGAGCCAGGGGTGCAGGGAGCGGGGCTGGGGCTATACAGAAGCTGTACATAAGCAGGAGAGAAAGTCAGCAGGTGCTTTGGGTCTTGACTTTCCCAGAGTTGGGGTGAACTGCCTGGTCATTTGGCATAGACTATGGCACTTACATTGTAACATGAGGGACTTTTATATGGGCAGGGGGATATGTGGGAGGCATGTGAGAAGGATGCATGTTGGGGGATGGGGACTGGCAGGAGCAACCTTCTGAGAGGCCTAGGAGAGTCTGCTTGTGGCCTAGATCCTGCGCTTCATGGGTGACCCCCACCTGCACGGTGCTCAGGAGAATGTCTTCGGGAACTACATTGTGCAGAAGGGGCTGGCGGTGCCCGAGCTGCGGGACGAGATCCTAGCACAGCTGGCCAACCAGGTGTGGCGCAATCACAACGCCCATAATGCTGAGCGGGGCTGGCTGCTGCTGGCCACCTGCCTCAGTGGCTTTGCACCTTCCTCACGCTTCAACAAGTACCTCCTCAAGTGAGTGGGACTGGGTGGGGGCCGGGGTGTGAGAGACAGTGGCATGGGCAGCAGGGCCCAAGGTGGAACCTTGAAGGTCAGGCCAGGAGTGGGGTTTCCGAGCTGGGACGCTCCATGGGGGCTGACCAGGGCTACTCTGCCTCTCCACTGGACTCAGAGCAAGCAAGAAGGGCAGGCCTTCCCTGAAGAGGGTAGGTGTAGTCAGACTGGATGAAGGACTTCCAGAACTCAGAGACCAGGGTGTGAGGAATTTGGAAAAGATCATGGATCTCTCACAGCATGGGACTGTAGGGGATGCTGGGTCCAGACAGTCTGGGTTCAAGTCCCAGCTCAGCCACATATGAGCCGTGTGGCCTAGGACAAATTACTCCATCTCTCTGGGCCTTGGTTTCTTCACCTATAAACTAGGGATAATGATGATCCCTATGAAACACAACAACACAGACTTAGAGCAGAGGCATGTGGGCATAAGTGCTGTGTGGGCATAACCATCCCAGTGATGGCACCCTACTGGGTGAGAAGGATGATTTGCAAGGGAAAATGCTCAGGCAGGCCCTGGGTATGAATTCTACTCTGATACCTGCGTGTGGCCTGGGGCAAGTCACTGCCCCTCTCTGAACTTGTCTCCCTGTAAATTAGGGATGGTAGCAGGACCCGCCTGATAGGGTGGCTGTGAGCTGCAGAGTGCATATAGCCTCACTCAGGCTAGCACACAGTAGGTGGTCATCACTTGGCTAGTCTTGTGACTCTGTGACAGCAAGGTAGGGCCATTGCCCGCCTATTTGGGGCCTTCTTGTGGACGTGGAGCTAGGTTCCCCCTTGTAGCTACCGTGAACCTGCTCCACTGCTGTTCCTGGCCAAGCCTAGCAAGGGGTTGAGGGGACAAGGAGGCAAGAGGGGTGCCTGCCCTTGGTAGAGATCAGGCTCGTTGAGCCCGCATGTAGTTGACCCAGCACAGCCATCTCTTCTAAAGATGAGAACTTGGAGGAGAGGTTCACAGAAGGCAGATAGCCACCCAGGGTTGCCTGCTGAAGAAGTGAGGTTCAAGGTCCAGGTTCTTATTCATATCCAGCTACAGACCCCACTCTGTCAATGACATTTTGCTCCAACAAGCTGGAACCTCTTTGGCCTATCCTTAGAGCTTTGTGCTGGCCTGAGATACTTCTGGGCTAGTCTGGAACCCTTTTAGTTTAGCCATGAAACTCTGGGCTAGTCTGAGATCTTTTTTAGACTAGCTTCTGAATGCTGGGATTGCCTGGGACCTCAGATTGTCTGGGATCGTCTGTAGCCCCAGAGCTCTGGACTATAGCCTGGAACCCTTCTGAACTATCCTTGGGCCTTTTCGGTCTCACCTTAAAACTCTGGGCTAGGCAGGACCTTTTTCAGACTAGCCTTAGAATTCTCCAACCCCAGCTAGCTTCACATCCCTCTTGATCCTGGTTCCAACTCCTACCCATCAGGTTTGTGTCTGATTATGGACGGAATGGCTTCCAGGCTGTGTGTCAGCACCGCCTCATGCAGGCCATGGGCCGGGCCCAACAGCAGGGCTCGGGGGCTGCCCGGACCTTTCCCCCAACTCAGCTCGAATGGACAGCCACCCATGAGAAGGCTAGTATGGCACTGGACGTGGGTTGCTTCAATGGTAAGCTGCCTGACCCCACCCCTTGCACTGCCTTTTCCCCCTCCTGGGTAGGGGGAACGCAGCCAGAGCCAGCAGGGCACAGTAAGCCCTGGGGTCAGAAGAAGCCACGGAAAGTTCTGGAGCTGGGGAGGAGCCACCTGGGATGTGGCTCTACGTGAAAGCCAGTGCACATGGGGCCTGGCCCTGGCCGTGGGAGGGGGTACCGGGGCAGTGGGGATGCAGATCCAGGGGTCCAAGATGAGAGTCGGGAAACCCAAGAGGAAGAAGCAGGCAGGGAAGCGTGGCCAGCCTGGACTCGGAAGCCCCATCCTGAGCCCAGCACCTACTGCAACCCCAGGTGACCAGTTCTCCTGCCCAGTGCACTCCTGGAGTACAGGGGAAGAAGTAGCTGGAGACATTCTGAGGCACAGGTTGGCTCCTGGGATGCCCTGCCCAGCACATGCGTGTACACCTGGGAAGGAGGGAGGCGGCACAAGAGGTCAGATCCCCCAGGGGCCCCTCGGGTCCACTCTGGTCGTGCGTGAGGTCTGGTTTCTATCCCAGATCTCCCCAGGCAGGGCCTGATGGCTCTGTCCCTCATTTTTACCCCTCTGCATGCTGTCACCAGGGGCCTGGCAGATGGCTGGCGGGGCTGGACAGTGGCCATGAAGAATGGGGCCGAGTGGGCAGAGCTGGCTGGCCATGACTATGTGCTGGACCTCGTGTCAGACCTGGAGCTGCTCAGGGACTTCCCTCGGCAGAAATCCTACTTCATTGTGGGTGCAGAAGGGCCTGCAGCCGGCAGGGGAGACCCCAGAGTGTAGGTAGCTATCTGGGCACCCCTCACACAGATGGCCTCTCCTGGGCAGAAGCCTCACCCGCCCCTCGCAGCTGCCGGGAAAGGCTGAGTTCTGAATCTGAGCTTCAGGGTTCTTAAGGAGGTGGAGTTTGCCAAGGGTTCCTGCTCTTTAAAAGGTTAAAGTAACCCACTTCCAGGGCACAGAGGAGAACGTTGGGGCATTGGAGGGGTCAGCTGCACCGTGTTCCCCTTCACCACAGGGTATTTGGAAACAGCTGGGACTCGGACGAGGACATGCCCACTAGGTCCCAGCCCCAGGGGCACATGCCCAAAGTGCCAGACTCTGACGGGTACTGCAGCCACAACAAGGATGGTACGAATGGGGAGACTGAGACCCAGAGAGGGACAACAATCCACCGAGGCCAATCAGCAGCGGCTGCTGTCCCTGGTAGGAAGGGAACCTTGGAGGCTGTGGGGTAGGAGGGTAGAGATCAGCATGAGGAAAGAACTTGATTCTTCTGTGTCTCCCCACCCAGAGTCAGACAGTCTTGGAGAGCCTACCGTGCCCCACAAGGGACTGGACTGCTACCTGGATAGCCTCTTTGACCCTGTCTTGTCCTACGGGGATGCGGTAGGCACGGGATGTGGCGTTTGCAGACAGCAGGCACAGTGTGTACACCCCAAGTCACACACATATACCGGGTGACATGCAAGCCTCTTACAGAGAGGGCCATGGGGTGGTGTGTCCTATCTGGTTCTCTGCCAGGAGCTGGGCAGAGGATGAAGATCTCCTCACAACTAGAGGTGCTCCTGACTGACCCCGGAAGGATCCACAGCTAGAAGTGCACCTTCCACCACCTCTGGGGGTGCAGCCCCCAGTGCCATTAAGATCTGTCTATCTGGGTGGGAGTGAATGACGTTGGTCCCTGGGTCCTCTGGTCCCAGATCTCATGAGACACTCCCCCCCGAGGTATGCTTGCTCACTCTGGAAACTCCCCAGAGCCCCTCCATGGTCCTTGGCATGATGTGCAGCCCTGAGCAGAGCACGGCCCTTCATTGAGCCTCAGTTTATTCCTCTGTGGAAGGGGGATGGGTCAGGCGCTCACATGATTGTGGGAGGACTGATTAGGATGCCGCATGGGTAAAGGCTGGGCACAGAGCAGACACTTGGCCGACGAGAGGCCTCCCTGGGGTGGAGGAAGTGGCTGGTGTCAGGTGCCTGTTGCCATGGAACCTCGGGAGTATAGCACTGAGGCAGTCACTCGAGCCACCTGCTGCCCCCAGGATCTGGAGAAGCCAACAGCCATTGCCTACCGCATGAAAGGGGGAGGCCAACCTGGTGGAGGCGGTAGTAGCAGTACTGAAGACACCCCCCGGAGACCTCCAGAGCCAAAGCCAAAGCCAAAGCCAAGTCAGTGACTCCCCAGGGTGGTTCCAGGGTGGGGCAGGGCTGGAGCCACTCGCTGGTCCTCAGGCACCTTGTGTGCTAGAATGGAGGCAGCCGCAGTGGGGGTGAGAGGATGGGTGGGACATGGTAGGGAGTCCCTCCATCTCCCATGCCCATTGTGCCCTTGCCTCCTCTGCTCAGTCCCAGGCCTGGACGCCTCCACGTTGGCTCTGCAGCAAGCCTTCATCCACAAGCAGGCTGTGCTGCTGGTGAGTGAGGGTGTGGCTGCTGGGGGGCAGAGAATGGGCCCGCCTGGTCACCACCGCCACCTCTCCCCAGGCCCGGGAGATGACCCTGCAGGCCATGGCGCTCCAGCAGCAGCCTCTGAGTCCTGCCCCAAGACCCTTGCCTCCAGAGGTGAGCCTGACCCACCTAGGGGAAGGGGCTGCTTAGACAGGTGAGTGGGAGGTACACAGTGCTGCTCCAGGGGCCCAGGAGTCCATGGTCCATCTTGAGCAGATGTGGGGGTCCCTGACAGCAGGCTGATGTGTCCCAGGCAGCTCACCTCATGCCCTGTTCTCCACAGAAACCCCTCGCTCCAGAGGCCCGGCTGAAGTCTGTAGGCACTGGTCCCCCGGCCAAACCTGTGCTCCTGCGCTCTGCTCCAAAGCCCTTGGTCCCAGCCCCTCTGGCCAAGACCCCAAGGGCCTCCACCAAGCCCGTGGCTGCCCCTGTTCTAGCTCAAGACCGGGCTTCTCCAGAAACCAGTGAGTGCCCTGTCCCAGCCTAGGGGTTTCCCAGGACAGGACTGGGGTATGGCTGTACCCCCCAGTGGCCTCACCCTGTTCCCCACTGCCCCCCTTGCCCACAGCTTTGCCTTCCCCAGAGCTGGTCAGGTACTCTACACTCAACTCGGAGCACTTCCCACAGCCTACACAGCAGATCAAGGACATCGTCAGGCAGTACCAGCAGCCACCCCGGGGAGGCCGGCCTGAGGCCCTCAGGTCTGCACTGCCCCTGCCCTAGCCCTCCAGCCCAACAGAGAGTGGCCTCCTCACTGTGCCTGCATGTCCACTATCGGTGTACCTGCCTACTGAGTCAAAGACCACCCTGTCCACCTCCCTTTAGGAAATGGATCTGTTTATGTCCATAGGTCCAGATGAGCCCTGGGGAAAAAGGGAGGCCCAGATACTGTTGTCCAGGTTGTGTTCTGGCACTTTGGACCAGTCTCTGCTCCTGGCTGGGTTCTCGCTTATAATGATGGGGAGGGGGTGGAGGAGGAAGCTCCCTACTGTAGGAGTATGCGGCAGGGAAGGGGAGACTCAGGGTCAGCCACCCATGATATGCCAATACCTATCAGGAAGGATGGTGGGAAGGTGTTCGTGAAGAGGCCAGACCCCCATGAGGAGGCCCTGATGATCCTGAAGGGGCAGATGACTCACCTGGGAGTTGCACCTGGCACTCAGGTGAGGGGCAGGGTGGGGCTGAACCCATGGGGAAAAGAAGACAAAGAGAGGCCTCCAGGAGTGCCTCAGAAACTGTTGCTCCTAAAAGCCACAGCCCTACCCCTTCCACAGGGCCTGTCTGTTGCTCCCTGAGCACTCTTTTTGGGGTGGGACAGGTGTCTAGAGAGGCCGTGGCCCTGGTGAAGCCAGTGACCAGTGCACCGAGGCCATCCATGGGGCCCACTTCAGGTGAGAGGGCCAGGAAGGGGGAGGGGCAAGCGACCAGGGTGTCCAAGTGTATGAGTAAGTTTGGGAACGCAGATGAGTCTCAACTGTATGTCATTGGCATGTGTGCATCTGTGTCCTTAAGCCAGTGTGTACATGTTGTGTGTGCAACTGGTATAATTATAATATCAACACTTATATAACACAGAACTCAGTCCAGACCCAGCCTGGCCTCACTTAACCCTACTAAGACCCTTCAAGGCAGTACCATTTGGTCCTACATGTTATGGATGGGGAAATGGAGGCACACACAGGTTAAGTGACTTGCCCAGGGTCATACAACTCAAAAGTACCAGGCCAGGGATGTGTACCCAGGCCTCCTGGCATCGCAGCTGGAGCCCTTACCTCTATACCCCATCTCTTGGCAGAAAAGATAGAAATTGGCCGGGCTCAGTGGCTCAGCCTGTAATCCCAGCTCTTTGAGAGGCCAAGGTGAGAGGATTGCCTGAGCCTGCAGGTTTGAGACCGGCTTGGGCAACTTGGTGAGACCTCATCTCTACAATAAGTCAAAAATTAGCTGGGCATGGTAGCGTACACCTGTAGTTCCAGCTGCTTGGAAGGCTGAGGCAGAAGGATCACTGGAGCCCACCCGGTCGACACTGGGGTGGCCGTGAGCGTGCCATTGCACTCCAGCCTGGACAATGGAGTGAGACTCCAACTCAAAAAAAAAAAAAAAGATAGAGATCAGCTCACATTGTGTTCCTGACAGAAACCCTCAGATGGTTCCTACAATGAGCTCCAAACTCCTCACTGTAGCATATGATCTACCCACCTCCCCTCTCAGCTCCTTCCACCCTCCCCTTGCACATTCTGTTCCTCTGTGTTCCCAGAACACACCAAGCCCTCTCCTGCATCAGAACCTTTGCACTTGCTGTTTCCTCTGCCTAGAATGCTCTACCCCAAGATCTTTACATGTCTGGCCCCTTCTTACACTCAGGTCTCAGCTCAAATGTCGCTTCCTCAGAGAAGTCTGCCTAGGCCATCAGGAAGGGGTGAAGGACCCTCCAAGACCAGCCCCCAGACTCTTGCCTAAATTGCTTGGCACTAAAAGCTTTGCTTCTGAACGGTCTGTTCCACCCACACCTGCTATAAGACTAAACTCAAGGACAGAGGCCCTGTCTGTCTTGTTCACTGGGGTATCCTCAGCTCTCAGCACTGGCCTGTATTCAATAGGTGTTTTCTATATGTGTCAAAAGAAGGGCTCAGTCATATGAATGTGACCCTTGTGAGTAGGTGTCAATGGACCCCCAGCCCCCTCCTCCACATGAGGCTGCCCCTGGGGTCCCTTTCCCCCCCACCCACCCTGCCTCTTCACTTCATCCTGAGAGGTGCCTCCTCATGCCTCCCCTGACCCTATGCTCTCCAGTACTGCCTTCAAGGTCACTGGATCCCCCAGAAGAACCCGTGCAGACACGGCTGCACCGCCTTGTCAACCCCAGCTTCTATGGCTACCAGGATGCCCCTTGGCGGATATTCCTGCGGAAAGAGGTGCCAGGCTTGGGCTGAGCCAGGGAAAGGGCTGAATGGGGGTGGGGGGTAGATCTAGGAGTTGGGGGAGGGGCCCAGGAGAACAGGGTCAGGCACAGGTGGAGTCAGAGCTGGGGCGTGACCGGGGGTTGTATGTGGAGGGTGGAGTGAGGTGTGAAACAAGGTGAGAGGCAGTCCGAAGGCACCCACTGAAGCCCCGCCCCCACAGGTGTTTTACCCCAAGGACAGCTACAGCCACCCTGTGCACCTAGACCTCTTGTTCCGGCAGGTGAGGTCTTCTCTTCCCTTTCTGTCTCAGTGTACTCAGCAGGGCAGTGTGCATACAGAGACTAGCTATGTGCACATCCTGCTTCTGCACTCTGGGTTTTGGGGTTCTTGGCCAGGGTGAAGTTGGGAAGCTATTTCATTGAATCTCCCACTCCCATGGACAGGGTCAGTGAGCCCATGGTGTGACCTAATCAGAGTGACAGTTTGAGTAGATGTGGCCTAGAGGTCATGTCTAAACCCCACTGTATAGATTATAAAATGAGGACAAAGAAGGGCGGCCTAGCCTATGGAGTCAAGGAGGAAAGAAAGGACCCCTATAAGTGGGAGCTGATTTACACAGATGACCCCACTGCTGCAAAATGGGACCTTCATGTTCCCACTCATCCCAGACAGTCCAGTCTGGGGTCTCAGCTGGGAAAGTCCCACGGGCCACCCACATCACAGCTCACTCCCACAGATCCTGCATGACACGCTCTCTGAGGCCTGCCTGCGCATCTCCAAGGAAGAGAGACTGAGGATGAAGGCCCTGTTTGGTATCCAGGGGGAAGGAGGAGTTGGTGGGGCAGCCAGAGCCACAGCCAGCCCTTCTCAGGGAGATTGAGGCTGACAAGTCCAGCCCTACCACCTCCCAGACATGCCCTCCTTACTGTGCTTCTGGCCCTTGCATGGCAAGGCTGAGTGTTTGGGGTCAGCAGTGCCTGGCGTATGATGGCCCAGCCATCTTGTCAGTCTCTGGGTTCCAGTTTCCCAGTATAGACACTAGTCAGACACCTTCTGGCTGGGTGTCAGCCTCCCTCCCTGACCTCCCTGAGGTGCGGGCCAACAGGGGAAGGGCGAGAGAGTCCTGACCGGACCTGGCCTCCCATAGCCCAGAATCAGCTGGACACACAGAGGCCTCTGGTAACAGAGAGCGTGAAGAGGGCCGTGGTCAGCGCCGCACGGGACACCTGGGAGGTCTACTTCTCCCGCCTCTTCCCTGCCACGGTGCGAGCTCCCCACTGGTCCCCTACTTGCCCAGGGGATTCAGGGATGAGGCGAAAAGACTCTTACACACCCTTCATCCCTGCCCCAGGGCAGTGTGGGCACAGGCGTGCAGCTCCTAGCTGTGTCCCACACAGGCATCAAGCTCCTGCGGATGGTCAAAGGTGGCCAGGAGGCCAGTGGACAGCTGCGGGTCTTGCGTGCATACAGGTGACTGGCAGGCAGGGGCGTGGGGCTGGCAGAAACTGGAGTGCAGACTGGCACCGGCATTTCCTCACTCCATAACCAAGTACCTATAATGTGCCAGACTCTTGTGCCAAGCCCTTTATGCAAGCCCATTTTAGAGCTGGGGAGACCGAGGGACAACAGAGACAAGTTGCTTGTCTCAGGTCACACGATGGCCAGGAAGGAGCTGAGCTAGGAGCCTGCTGCCCCATCCACACAGAGCTCACTGTGCAGAGGGGCAGCCTTGCTGTAAATGACCATGCTATGACAAGCCTGGGAAGGGAACCAGTGCTGCTGCTGTGGCACTGTACTGGGTTCTGCGATACCCTCCTCCCCTGCTAGAAGTCCCTTTTGTCCTTTATAACACAAGGATGGGAAGAGAGCCTTGCTCACCAATTGGGTGAAAACTTGTTTTAAAATGTGGAGTCCGGGCAAGGTGGCTTAGCCTGTAATCCCAGCACTTTGGGAGGCTGAGGCAAGAGGATTGCCTGAGCCTGGGGGTTCACGACCAGCCTGGGCAACTTGGTGAGACCTTGTCTCTGTAATAAATCACAAAAAAATTAGCTGGGGCCGGGCACAGTGGCTCACGCCTGTAATCCCAGCACTTTGGGAGGCCGAGGTGGGAGGATTGCCTAAGCCCGTGGGTTCGAGACCAGTCTGGCCAACTTGGCAAGACCTCATCTCTACAATAAATCAAAAAATTAGCTGGGCATGGTGGTACATGCTTGTAGTTCCAGCTACTTGGAAGGCTAAGGTGGAAGGATCACCAGGGCCCAGCAGGTCGAGGCTGCAGTGGCCGGGAGCATGCCACTACCCTCCATCCTGGATGACAGAGTGAGACTCCAACTCAAAAAAAAAAAAAATTAGCCAGGCATGGTGGCGCATGCCTGTAGTGCCAGCTATTTGGAAGGCTGAGGCGGAAGGATTACCTGAGCCCAGCAAGTCGAGGCTGTGGTGGCTGTGAGTGTGCCACTGCACTCTAGCCTGGGCAACAGAGTGAGAGTCCAACTAAAAAAAAAATAGAATTTGGTTACTGAGTGAGAGAGAGAGATTTGTGTGGGCAAAATCCAGGAGCCTGGACCAAAGGGCAAAGGGTGGGAAGGGGCTGGAGTGTCGACTCAAAGCATGATGGGAACTAAACTGAAACTACAGCAGGGTCAGAAAAGGGAGGTGGAGGCTGGGCTCGGTGCCTCAGCCTGTAATCCCAGTGCTTTGGGAGGCCAAGGTGAGTGAATTGCCTCAGCCCGTGGGTTCAAGACCCGCCCGGGCAACTTGGCGAGACCTCATCTCTACGGTAAATCAAAAATTAGCCAGGCATGGTAATGCGTGCCTGTAGTTCCAGCTACTTGGAAGGCTGAGCAGAAGGATCGCCGGAGCCTAGCAGCTTGAGGCTGCGGTGGCCGGGAGTGGCCACTGCCCTCCAGCCTGGGCGACAGAGTGAGACTCCAACTCAGAAAAAAAAAAGGGAGGTAGGAAGGTCCTGGGTTCTTTGGGGCTGGCCTAACGGGACTGAGATGGTACTGGCGCCGGGCTTCAGAAAGAGCAGGGCAGAAACATAAGTGGCATGATCGGTGGAGGAAGGGCAGCAACCCCCTAGCCACAGGTTCCTGCCGTCATGCCACCTGTCCATCTTCCAGCTTTGCGGATATCCTGTTTGTGACCATGCCCTCCCAGAACATGCTGGAGTTCAACTTGGCTAGCGAGAAGGTCATTCTCTTCTCAGCCCGAGCTCACCAGGTCAAGACCCTGGTGGATGACTTCATTCTGGAGCTGAAGAAGGTCAAGTTCCTCCTGTAGATGTCCCCCCAACCCCACTGCCCAAGGCCAAGGGCCTGAGAACAGGTCTCTCCCACCCCAGTTATATACCAGCCCTGCCTGCTTGGGAAGTGTGAATGTGTGTGTGTCCATAGTGACTGTTCATAGATATCTGTGTGCCTTCAGGCTTTTGTGTAGGCTTTCCAACTGAAATGCCATTTGACTGTTCATTCAGAAAATGTCTATTCATGCCCCCAGCAGGGTGGCACAGCACCTCCTCCGAGTTCCTCAGCAGCTATCCTCCTCTCCTGCCATGGCTACATGGCCTGCCCATTGCATCTTGGTCTCTGTCCATCCCTCCCACTCCTGACTGGGCAGCCCCTGGGCCTAGAGCGGGTCATACATGTACCCCAGGCCCAGGGAAATCTTCCATGGGAAGGTCTGGTGAGCGGCTGAGTGGGCAAAGTGGATGTGTGAGCCCCAACCTCCGCCCATGTCCATCAGATCAGGCCTCCAGCCCTTCCTTCCCTCTTCTCATCTACTGAGTTCTCCCTTCCCTCACAAGTCAGAGAGGATGTGAGGAGCAGGGGTGGCCCTAGGCCTCGGGAGGGGGATGCCAAGGGGCTGCAGCTCATCACCCTGCCCCTGGTTAACCCAGGACTCTGACTACGTGGTTGCCGTGAGGAATTTTCTGCCTGAGGATTCAGCGCTGCTGGCCTTCCACAAGGGTGACATCATCCACCTGCAACCCCTGGAGCTCCCTCGAGTGGGTCGGTGCCAAGGGAGGTGAGGGGGGGCTGGCCGAGGGTGCCTCCCTGGCAGATGCTGATAAAAGCTTGGCCCACAGGCTACAGTGCCGGCTGTGTGGTCCGAAAGAAGGTTGTGTACCTGGAGGAGCTGCGGCGTAGAGGCCCTGACTTTGGTGGGTGCCCCGAACCTAGGAATCCCAGACAGAGCTCCTTCTACTTTAATGCAGCATGCTGCAGAGGCACAGTACGGGCTTCTTGGTGCCCAAAAGGGATCTGGGCTGCCCAGCCTCCTAAGGCCCCTGCATGGCCTGTCAGCGTCTGCCGGTATAGCCCAGTCCTCTGCTCTGCCTGCATATGTGGCTGAGGGGTCTCCGTGAGCATTATTGTCTCCATGTTTGTGGCCCAAGCCTCTCTTTGTGCTTCTGCATGCCCTCAGAGTCCACAGATGCTGCTTTGCCTTTTAGCTTTGCTTCCCACTGTGGTCTTGTGGCTCTGAGAAAATCCCTTTCCTTCCCTGAGCCTCTGTTTCCTCATCTGTAAAATGGATTCCATGGTGTCCTCACAGAGCTTTAGGGAGAGGTTAAGGAAGTACTAGGTATCCCTAAAGGGCCTCCTTAGTCCCAAGACAAGCCCCTCCTGTTTCCTTTAGACCTTTTACTTGCCCTCTAGGCTGGAGGTTCGGGACGGTCCACGGGCGCGTGGGCCTCTTCCCTTCTGAGCTGGTGCAGCCTGCTGCTGCCCCTGACTTCCTGCAGTTGCCAGCCGAGCCAGGCCGTGGCCGGGCAGCCGCCGCAGC